AGGCGAGATGCTCGATATGGTCATCCCACTTCAAGGTGTCAGTCATGTGAACCCCAAGTAATTTAATGAACACGCTCGAGGGGTTTATCTCCTACAGATAAATGTATAGGACGTTCAGCCAGAGAATGGTAAGACGACATCTGAGGAGTTGAGAACAACATACACTTAGTCTTTGCAGGTTTCAGGGCCAAGTTGGAGTCCTGGCACCAGTTTGTGATACTTGCAAGAGTCTCATTCATGTCCACAGCTCTTGAGTCTAACTCCTTGACATTAGAATGGCTGTACAGTGACGTGTCGTCCGCATACTGGACGCATTCCATCGATGGTGGAGTGACATCGTGTAGATCTGGTACGTATAGGTTAAAAATCATCGGTCCCAGGATGGAATCCTGTGGAACGCCATATTGAGACGACTGGTGCGAGGACTTCCTATCGTCGATCTGCACGAATTGAGAGCGGCCAGATAGATAGCTCAAGAGCCACTTGAGAAAGGGTTTTGAGAAACCGAGCTTGTAGAACTTCACGATGGTCGCGGTAAAGGATATGGTGTCAAAGGCCTTCGAGAAATCGGCTAATACCATAAGCGTGACCTCTTTCCTCTTCATGGCATAGCGAGTATCGTCTCTAACTCCCATCAAGGCTGTAGTGGTGGAATGCCCTTTACGGAAAGCAGAGATACGATCGTGAAGAAGATGGGCGTGGTCCGCATAATTCGTCATTTGAATAGCCACGAGCTTCTCGAAGACCTTGGATAGAACAGGAAGGGCTGAGATGGGCCGAAGTTGATCTTAAGAGACTGGGTTGTCAATCTTTGGGACTGGAGACACCTGAGCAATCTTCCACTGCTTTGGAAAGTAATCTTTCGCAATGCAATTGTTGATGATAGATGTTAGGGGGAACGCCAAGCACTCAGCAACCAACTTGATGAAGCGGGTAGGTATCTGATCCGCGCCCGTAGAACAATCCGATAAATTGACACTCAAATAAAATGTTTTTTTTTTTTTTTATCTTGGCCTACTTATTTCTTGGCCTTTAAGTTTGGAGAGCAAAGACAGTGCATTTTATACACTTTAAAGGTTACCAAAGACGACCGGAGTTCACTGAAGTTAACGCTTCATGTTACCATGTTACAGTACAGAAAGCTTAGCTCAGCTATTCTGAAACAGTTAAATCGTTACAGTTATTTCACAATGCTTCCTCTGCATGTAGTTTGGAGTTATCAAGTGAACTTAAAAAATGACTTTGTTATAACTGTCTTTTCCATATGACCTTTCATCTTTTCGTTCTTCCTCTTTATCGAAATCTTCTCCGAGAAGCAAAGTTTTATGAGTATCTGCATCAAATTCGTGTTTTCTCTCTGATTTGGGAGAATTTGATAAAAGATCAAATCTCTGTTTTCCTACAGGCGATCATTTTATTAATTCAAGGAACCTTTTTCTTTACTATGTATTGATATTCTTAGGAGAAAATTGAAGTTAATCACTGAGATCTCTTCCCCACCCAAACAGCCAAGAACCTAGACGGAGAGTAGTCTCTCTTGTTGCTCGAAAATCTCTTTGAGCAAGCGAGTTATATCAGCATGTGAAAGTAGCGCGTTGCGCGGGCTCCAGTACGAGCGAAAAAAGAGGCTGCTCTGGCTTCATGCATGCAGCATTTCTGTAGCCCGTAACTCTGGTAACGAAAGGTATGTATTGGCCGGTCTATAAAGTGATAACGTGCATCTGTTTTATTAACTGTTCATCAATGCCATTTTGAGACCCGCTCTACTATTCAAGAGGCTTTCCGGGTAGAAAGAATAAGGCAAATCTTCGATATTCAACGATTTCCTTAATTTGCCTTATCTTGCGATAAATTCGCATACAAATCCTTACAAGTTGGCTTTGAGAAGACTGTTGTCATTCTGGGTTCCCTGTGTCTACGCCGGTCTTGGTAAACTTAAGGACCCTGGAAACCAGGCTGGAGCTAACGCTTCAACGCTTTTAATCTAGCATTCTTTTACCCAGACTCCCCAAGCCAATTTAGTTTAAAATGCTAATCATCATTTGAGTCTTCTGGTGACTACCGCGCCCAGCACCCTGAGTGGACTGATGACAGTGGCATTAGACTTGACTTAGCACATCCTTCGGTATGTCAAATACTATTCTGTCCTTTTAGAATTGTGCATATTTTTTTGCCATTTAAATGCGCAATTGAAGTTAAGTTCTCTCCGGATCGCAGTGATTCAATTAATGCACTGTTGATCACGCGATTGTTGACCACTTGCTTCGACTTCTAGCAATTTGTTGCGAGAGGTATCTCAGTTCATGGTACTTTGCCAAGTGTCACTTTTTCAAGTTCATCATTTGAGTGAATGGTTCTGTATTTCTCTGTTTGTCATTTGAGCTAGGGATCCGTTTTAAGTTTGAAAGCGGAAATACATGTGGAGTCCGCAATCAAATAAAGCATATTTTAGTTTGTCCATGTTAATTAATACCTTAGGGTTGTTCTTCGGCTTATTTGTGATTTGGTAATAACTGTCACATGTAGTAGTGATGTTCAGAGCAGATTTTACAATAGCGGATACAGCTGAAGTTTCGTTAAGTGAATACACTCGTCTTTCACTTTCGCCTTTCATTTGGGAAAGTCCCACACAAGCCATCTAAAAGGATCGATTTTTCTAGAAAATCAGTCATCCATCGACAGGAGCAGTCATGGCCAAAGGGAAAAATCATTTGGATCTTTTTATATGACTGTAGTTAATAAATTTCATTATAACATTAGTGCCTTTTTTATCATGAAAACAATAACGTTTTTCTAAAGTTGACAAACTTTAAGTCAACATTACTGACTACTTCAGATAGTGAAGTGAATACTTTGCCACGAGATCATTCTTTAAAGAGGCACTGAAGCGGTTAACAAAGCTAAAATTACCATTGCTCAAAACAAGTTCCTACATTTAATAAACAGACATGATAGAGCATCCAAGTGGTGGAAATTTCGCCTCTTTTAATCATCGCAAAAACAAATCAGTTCAACAAAACGTTCTTTACTTTTTTCGATTTAACTGAATATTTTTCATCCCTACCATTAAAGCCTTAGTATGCTTGCTGGGTTTAATTGCGATTAGCATGATAAGAGTAACAAACAGTTAGTTTCGGCCTCACACCGTTTGTCTCGGAGTTCCAAAGTAGTTTCAGAATACGAACGGCAGATATTGTTCAAGAAGCAGTCGACGCCACTGATACAGAGATAGTCCTGTGTACTTGGTTGTTAAAATACAATCATAAACAGGAGACTGGGCTTCTGAGAGGAGCCTATAATAAACCATTCCCTTTATTAGGGACCTTGGCCAAATGCAACTATGTATGGGGACATAGGACGATTCGTAAAATTATAGTTTTACCCTTAAAAGGGGAATGAACCGGAAATACACCGCGGGGAAACATGTTTGCTTGTGAAAACACTGACCAGGTTTAAAATTCACCATCACATCTCTATCATTACGCATAAGTCCTAGCAGTATGCAGGATGTTTGGCACATGGACTTAGTTTAGTGGCCTTAGCTCCTAAGGCCGTTTCTAGATTAGGGACCCCGGACAAATGTAACTGCGCTGTAAGGAAAGGTAGATGTGGGGTGGAGGTGGGCTCGATTATACAGCCGATAATGTGTAGGTGGAGGAGTAGGAGAAACAATTGAAATCTGGTGGTGGTGGTGGTGGTTGTCGGAAAGCAGTACAAACGTGCAAAAGCAAAAAAGGGAGGAGGAAAAAAAAGGTTTTTGTCGTAGATAAGCTAGTTTGCCTTTGTTCTCATCAAATATGTACGATTTGCGGGCCAAGAATCAGTGAACGGGAACTGCAACAATTTGTTGCACAATGAAAGCGGCAGGAAATAGAACTTGCATAATGACGTTACGAATGACTCAGTCATGATTTTTAAGTCACAGGCACCTTTAGTTAGTGCTTATTCCTTCAATAACATGGATCAACCAATCAATACTTTTATTGATCAATAAAAATCTGTCCAACAGGTTAAAACACATAAAAGTAGCATGTGAGACTCCCCCGCATTTTATTAATGAGATAAAGACAAAAACGCTATGATGTCAACGGTGTTAATATATTCCACTTTACTTTCTTCACGCGTTAGCCTGTGTACAGACGTCCCCCCTCCCTCAGAAAAAATCGGGATGGGGGACGTCTGTACATAGGCTATTCACGCGTTTGTTATTAATCAATTGGAAGCCTGCCAATTCTCACTGCAGCTTATGGGAAGACAAATGGTTGTCAGTACCGTGATAAACATTCTGTTAAAAGTCAAAGACAACCTGGCCGGGGTTGCTCGAAGCATGGTTAGTGCTTACCAGCGTTAAATACCATGGAAACCTATACATTTTGATACCTCTTAACCAACGGTTAGCGCTAACCAGGCTTCGAGCAACCGGCCCCTGGCAGTGTTTTAGCTGCGTCCAGCAGGGTATTATAGTGGATGTGAATAACTTGAATCAATTGATAAATTGACACTTGTTAATTTCTAATTTCTAATTCCTTTAAGGTAATTAAAGCCTTTTTTACAAGTGAGGTGAGCTGGTTCATCTTTATGTTCTTCTCGCAATCTCACTGTGGTATCACGTTAACGTTGTTAAGTATTCTAACCCTCTGGTAGGGGGGATTTCTTCTGTGTCTGTGTGTTTTTGTCCCCTTCCTTGCCTGGGGTCCCCCGCCAGGGGATCAGGGCTAATGTTGGATGCATTATGCGTAAGAATCCAATCTCTTTATTCAACACATGTTATGAAAGACTGCGATAAAATGATCTATGAATTTAGAAGATAAATAATTATAACTTTCGCTAAAAAAACAAATTTATATATAAAATTACTTTACATGCATTTCAAAATTTTTATATCATTGTCTTTATCTTTGCAGATTATCTCCCTTTACAATGGCCGATTGTTCAACGACAGTTTGGTATCCATTTTCTAACATATGATACTGTATTTTTAAAAGGTTATTATCCTCACAATGGCTACAATTTCGTTGGAGCAACTGAACTTTTTTAAGTTTTCATCTGTCGTATTTGATGAATTTCCAATCGCCCTCCGCCAAGTTTTTGTTCACATGTGGGACAATCAAGTTGCTCCTACACCAGGCTTTCAAAAATGGGACGACTCACCTCTGGTTCGAAACATGTTTCTCAGTAAAGAGGGTGGAAGGACAAAATATGTTCCAACCGGTAAATCATATCATGAGTGGGACTGCACAGCGCTGTTTGAAGCCACTCTCTATGCTCAGAGCTTTGCCATTCCGAACGGGAGTGGAGGCCTTTCAACTTTGAACAAATTGTACGTGAAGCCCCGTCACTTACTAAGTGGAAAATTTCACCCTGTCCTTTTAATTCCTGGAAACGAAGCCGAGACGTTTGCGTTAGCGTTAGATCAGCTTCGTCTCCTAAGAAACGCACTATGTCACCAGACAAGCACCCAAAAGATTGACAAGACGACGGGCGCTTTCCATTTACGAAAAAAACCCGGAATTTTCGGTGGTAGCAAAAGTGGAATTTCCGATTGGTAAAAAGTTGTTCCATTTGGTCGTAAACCCCGGTACGTGGCCGGGTGCCCGACCGTGGACCTGGAACTGGTACAAACTACAAGAAACGTCAATGGAACACGACATTCCGTTCGGAAATTCCAACCGGGAAAACGGGACCACCTTTTTAGATTTTCCACTTTTTCTGGGAATTTTCCAGTGCGACGAACCGACGAAACGTGTTCCATTTTCCGCCGAACCGGAAATTCCGGAAATTTTGAGTAAATGGAAAGCGCCCGACTTTTGATTATTATATAAAATTAGCAAGAGAGGCGTTTGTTGCACTTAAACAAGACACAACCAGGATTGATGAGATCGGGAAGCTTGAAGAAGAAGACTTTCCTACTGCCAGGCTTCAGAAGTTAGAAGCAGAGTTGAAGAAAGAAAAAGATGCTGACATCAAGTTTAAGCAAATCAATGATCACCTCAACCAAATCGAGTGTCAAATTAAAACTGTACGATCAGACGTAGAAACAACAGTAACAGATGTACAGACGAAAGTGGAAGAAGTCACGTCAGACGTCAAAACAGCGGTAACAGATGTACGGACGAAAGTGGAAGAAGTCACGTCAGACGTCAAAACAGCAGTAACAGATGTACAGACGAAAGTGGAAGAAGTCACGTCAGACGTCAAAACAGCAGTAACAGATGTACAGACGAAAGTGGAAGAAGTCAGGTCAGACGTACAAACGGCAGTAACAGATGTACAGACGAAAGTGGAAGAAGTCACGTCAGACGTCAAAACAGCAGTAACAGATGTACAGACGAAAGTGGAAGAAGTCACGTCAGACGTCAAAACAGCAGTAACAGATGTACAGACGAAAGTGGAAGAAGTCACGTCAGACGTCAAAACAGCAGTAACAGATGTACAGACGAAAGTGGAAGAAGTCAGGTCAGACGTCAAAACAGCAGTAACAGATGTACAGACGAAAGTGGAAGAAGTCAGGTCAGACGTCAAAACAGCAGTAACAGATGTACAGACGAAAGTGGAAGAAGTCACGTCAGACGTCAAAACAGCAGTAACAGATGTACAGACGAAAGTGGAAGAAGTCAGGTCAGACGTACAAACGGCAGTAACAGATGTACAGACGAAAGTGGAAGAAGTCACGTCAGACGTCAAAACAGCAGTAACAGATGTACAGACGAAAGTGGAAGAAGTCAGGTCAGACGTACAAACGGCAGTAACAGATGTACAGAAAAAAGTAGAAGAAGTGAAAACGGCAGCAGCAGAAGTCGAGACAAAATTGGAAAATGTCGAATCAGGGGTGAAAAGTGAGCTAGCGAAAATAAAAGCAAACGTCGATGACGTGAAACAAGCAGTTCAGTCCGGAATCACCAAAGGTATGTAAAGCGTTGGTTTCCTTGCAAAACACTGGCTGATCCGTTATTCATCTTCCTTGGTTAGGAACTGCCTTGCTAGTTGCGTATGTGAATGTTCCCAAGGCGAATTCCTATTTATATTTTTATAATGGGCAGTTGTTGGTAAGGTAATTCCACGTCTATTTAACATTGATTTACATTAAGATTTAGCGATATATCGCTTTTGGTGAGGCAGTAAATCCAGTACATTTACCATAAAATAGCAATCGGTAACACACAGATTGTGTGAGCCCCCTGTGCCTGAATTAACAATACCATAGGCCGGCGCAGTCAATCGAACGAAACCGAACTTAAAATCAGTCGAACCCAATCGTCGGATTGTTGTTCGACTGTTTCTGTAATCGAACATAATCGAACTGGAACTTTTCGGTGAGTTCGATTACCGAACTCAATCGACGCGATTAGTTCGATTTTGTTCGGCAGAAAGACAAACCGCAGCCAGTTTTAATTGAATTGGAAAGATCATCCCTCTGGGATGTACGTGCGGCAGTTTGCAAACAAAAATTTTCAATTAACCCGGAATTAACTAAATCTTTGTTGTTAAAGTTATTAAAAATCGATAAATTCTCAACTAATACTGGAAAACATGAATGGCACAGTAAAACCACGTAAAATGTCTTTCCCAGGACAATACCGACTGGGTGCTGAACACACGCAACAGTGTATAGCATTTACAAAATAGTCACTACTATTAGAGTTCACATTACCTCAAAGTAAATGTCTATTAAAACTACAAGCGACGTTTGTAAAAAGCTGTTGCAAAACAGAAGCAGTACAAGCTTAACTTTTGGCGTTACAATGCTTCATTAAAAGAAAAAGAAATCCAACATCGACGTCCAAAGAGCACTGTCTCGTTGAACAAATAAAATAAAGGCTTGTTTATAGTGGAAATTGCACTTAGCTTGTCCAGCTAATTTACAGGCACTCCACTCAAATATTTAGAAACAAATAATTCAAATACAACATAATAGGATTAAAAACCCCAACTGGCAGAAGGCGACCAGTTGGCTATTTACAAGCGTGGCCGAGAATTTGATCTCGGGACGACCGAGGCCAAATCCAGCAAGTGGCCAGAGCGGGACTCGAACCCGGGACCGCCGGATTGCGAGTCCGACGCGCTGACCACTCGGCCACGCTGCCTGCTTGACACAAACTGTTTTCCGTCCTCTGTGACATCTTTGCGTACTCGTGTTTGAAATTGAAGCCAATTGATATATAACTTATTTGAACGTAAAGCCTTGTTTTTTGAAACCAGATGAAACTGGTTTATGTTCGATTGTTGCAGTGTTCGATTAGGTTCGATTGTTTAAGTGTTCGACTTCCGGTGAGTTCGATTAAGTTCAATTACCGAACCCAATCGAAGACAATCGAACGACTGAAGTTCGATTGGGTTCGATTACCGAACGTTCCATTGACCACGGCGGGCACAGGGAACCCACGCTCTTATTTGTAAACTGCAAATGGAAATTAAATGAGAGATAAAAACTTATCTGTGGAATCTTCAGTTCTCGAATCTGCTCCGAAGCAGAGTGAAATTGAAGTTGCTGTACGATGCAAAAACGAATCAGTTACGATGTTTGTGTCAGCGCTTTGTCCGTAAAATATTTCACAATGCTTTATTTTGAGTCTATCTTTTTGTCGAGGGTCGAGGGTTCCATGTCGAGGGTAATTTTTTTTTCAATTTTTTTATAAAGAAAATGTGGTGTTGTTGTTGTTGTTCTTTCATTAAAATAGTGCGTGGACATTCGAATTCGCTTAACATCAAAGAACCTTCTCCCTTCCTGTGAAGGTAGACAAGTTGTGCCTAAAAAAAATATCGTAGAGCGTAGGCTGCTTAGGCTTATATTTCAGTCACGTCTGCCTCTTCTCTGCTCGCTTGGCTGTTCAGTGGGGTAGTTTGAATATGGATATTTCACGGATTTTTGGTTTTTTAAGCCATCCCACTGTTTGCGACCGAATTGTCGTGCTTTCAATGAAGTAGAAACTCGCCATGAAATTTTAATATACAAGTCATCGACAATCACCGACACCGGAAATCGTAACCTAGGTACGTAGGAGCGTAGCTAGAGTGAAATTTTAAATAGATGGTTGATGCTATCGCCCGAATCGCGCCGAAATAATAAACTCCTTGAATTACCAACGTTAATGCTCTGCAGCTTAAAAAGTGTATCACTGCAGAAATTTGAAACACTCTGAAACAAAAAAGGAACACAAAACCAACACTTATATCGGAGCAGTTGATGGCGGCAGTGGGATAATAGGAAGTCATGTGGCGAAACTAATTTTGTACACATCTTTATCTCTAGTGTGCATTTCAAACAGAAATCAGGAGTGTCTGCGCAAAAAACTTTCTTGACAACGGCTTCAGCGATTATTTCCTATTTTGCACGAAAAGGGGAGCTTTTATTCACAAACAGCGATCCGAACGAAGCAGACACAGGGTCCAGAGGAGTTTCGTGTGAATAAATGAATTACTTATTTAAGTCTCACCTTGAAAAATGTCTATACCTGTCGCTTAGCACGATTAATTAGCCCAATGGGATCTTTATGAATCTACTGTAAACGATTTCTTCCCTTTTTATCTGACCAAGAGCGACCTTGTTGCTCTCGTCGCCCGAAGGGTGACCGAAGACCGTCGCCTGAAGGGCGACAGAGGCACGAAGTGCCGAGTAAAAGAAAGGACAAGGGAGGAAACAAATTTGGGGCCGATTTTCGAATCCCTGAAACTCAAATGGAATTGAATGAAATCGCCTTATTTTACTAACCTGATCTAGAATTCTTATGTATTTGCCAAATACTGTAGGAAAACGGCATAAAAAAGCGTTCAAATTCATTTTCGGTGACCGAAATTTACGGTTTCGAGATAGCGCTTTCGTTCGCTGTGCACCGCAACAGATCATGACGGAAATGACGTAGCTAGTAAAGTAAACGTGCTCAAGATCGGAGCAATAAAAGAGGATGGTCAGCCTACACGACTTTTACCTCATGCCAAAATGCTACTCGTTCCAATAGTTTTTTTCCTCTGCTGGGTAGATTATGCTCTGGAAGGTTCTACATTTCCGTATTTTACATCGTAAGCCGATCTTGCGAGCCCTCAGTCTCTTTTGGTTTGCGGTCTATAGAATGTGTAACGAAACTGTAACGCGATCAAAATAGCCCATTTTTTCATAGGTTTTCGACGGGTTTTGATTTTCTAACGACAAACACTTTACCTCTGGACCCTGTGAAGCAAACGATTATGCTAACTTTCAATAAAATATATAATATGTTTCGTTTTTCATCGCCTCCATAAGCTCATGAAGATGGGTCGGTCCGCCTAGCCAAAAACTGGGAAAAGTTGCAAGGGTTAGGTTAGGGCCTAGCCTGTATCGCTAACTTAGCTGCATATCCTTTATTTGTTATTTTGTAATTCCTGCTTCCACAGACGGCCAAGCTCATTTTGACAGTAATATATCAGGTAAATCAGTTTTTTAAACCTTTTTTTACTTCATTTTTTACTATATGGTGGCTCGTCTACAGAGCAGAAGACGTTCTTAGGCATTCACTCATATTGAGAAACCTGTTATCAAGTAACGTGTTCAGTTCCCCCCCTCCATCCCCATCCAACAAGGAGAACTAATATGGATGGAGATGTCCACGCACCATTTGTTTTTTAAATTCTTCTTATTTGTTTCCCATTTGTTTTCCATTTTTCAAAAAAAAAAAACTAAAAAAATTGTTATCGTCGGCCCTCTATGGAAAACGGACAGTCGGTTTTTTTTCTCTCGCCTCACACGCCCTACGGGCGTGTGAGGTTCGCGCGCCTCGCGCGCGTAAGACTCATACGCCACGCTTTACCGATTTCTTTACTGATGTTGAGAAAAAAACCGACTGTTTTGCAGTCTACTCGACAGGTACCCTGGGTTCCAGAGACTTTTCTAGCGCGGTTTCCGGTCCAATCGTGAGCACGGTTAAATCATTTGGTCCAGTTTGGAAAGTTTGGAAAGAGCATGATAAGCAATGTACTAGAAGGATTTGATGGTGTAGACAAGTTAAAAGCTATGAGCAAACAAGTGGAGTATTTAATTTCATTCAACGCAATTAAGCTATTATCACCAATTCAGCTTTTGCAGCAATACGGTTTAAGCTTTACTAATTTCCTATCTCAAACGATTACAACATGTTTTGAAATGGTTTGTATTGATGGATTAGGAATATAAAAACAAAACATGTATTCTTAGTATAAAAGTGGGGTCAGAAGGCAACACACGACTTTTACCTCATGCCAAAATGCTGCTTGTTCCAATGAATTTTTTTCCGGGATGGGTAGATTATGCTCTGGAGAAAAAACGTGTTAACTGAGCAAATTTGATTTTTGCCGATTGTTTCATACTGAGAGGTCGTGACACGCATATTGATTTTCTGCGGTTATTGTGTCTGGTCGGCATATGATTTGCCCTCTGATGCAAGAGCATTTTCTTTGACCTCTTTTGAAATGTTAAGCTCTTCAATGCGGCTAAATGAGGGTTTTAGCTTGTTTAATTTCTCCAAAGTGCCTCCTGGATCTGAATAACTATAAGCGATTTTCTTTTTGTCCGTGAAAGTGACGGTTTCCTGCAATGTTTTGTCACGCTGGGCCCAGCTCGTTAGCGTCTTTAGCAGGATGTTAAATTCTCACGGATAGTGATTTTCAGATCCAAACCTCGAAGAATGGATTGCAGCTTAAACTGAAGCTACATCAGTTATGGAGAACTTCGATTTGACCCAGTCATGATTGCTCTTAAAGCAATGAATTTTAAACTCGAACTTGTCTTTCTAAGGATAATGTGGGTCTTTGGACATTTCTTCACGTGCCGGCCCACATGATCACAGTCGGAGACTTTCAATCTGATTGGCGTAAATGTAATCCGATAAAAAAGCTCAAAGGTCAACGGGGACGGTAAAGAGCACCGCTCCGTGCCAGAGGTTTTTGTGTTGTCATTATCGTCTGGCCTTTCACTGTTGGTTTATTTTAATTAAAATTAACGGTACAGTAATTAGCGCGCGTTGATTAAAATTGTTAATAAATTAATAACCAACAGTGAAAAGCGAGACGATAATAACAACTGCGTGACATCAACAGTGAAATGCGAGACAAACCACATGAAATAAAGCATTGTGAAATTTACGGACAAACTTGAACGCAAACATCGTTCTTGCATCGTAGAAAGAACTTCAATGTCACATTTCTCCGCAGCAGATTCAAGAACAGAACAGATAGGTTTCATCAAAAGTAAACACAAAGAGCGGTGATAAACATTGTGAGTTTTCGCATTTTCATAAACTTGCCAGTTTTTATCTCTTACAAATAAGAGCGTGGGTTACCCATGCAATGCCAGCAACACTAGCAAAACTGCCCTCGAATAAGCGCCGCACTCAATCAGAAGAATGCTGCGTTTATTCGAGTTTTGTAAGAAAATATCTCGGTACAACTTTTTAAATCTACACCAGCCACAGTTACGAATCTGTCTCAGCAAAAAAGCGACACAACGAAACCTTTTACAAACATATCCATTTTTCTGCTTTGCATAATCTTCATTTATTTATTTACATTATTTAGTTAGTTAGTCAGTTAGTTAGTTTTCATCACAGGGTCCACAGGTTGCAAAATATACGCTTGAATACAATTATTATGTGATTCGTTTTCTTTTGACCAAAGAATATCGAAAACACGACTGTGATGAGGAACGAGGGCGGAAGCCCCAATCTCTCCTCCTTTTTGCCAAAATGATTAATTAGCACAATTTCAATTTTTCGCTCGCGCCGCGCGTGGCAAGAAGGACGACCGAGCGCGGTCTAGGTTTAATATATGATTTGTTTTCCCAATGCACGTCACGTGATATTACTCTAAAAAAAAAGTTTCCTTTGATTTTCGCGTACATGATGTATTACAAGAGGAAGAACAAATTCCCTTGAAAACATCACATGAACTACAATGGGGAAAAATAATTATGCCAAAAAAGACCTTTTATTAAAGGATGTACAGCTGTAGTCGATTGAACGTTCACCCTAGCCTGGAGTGTATAACTCAGTCTTTTTAATATTATTGTTAATTACAACTACAAAGTTCTGATTATTCCCTGCAATGTAATTTGTTTGTGTTGTCTCTTCAGATTTATTTGTGCCCGACCAATGCATACCTGATGCATTACCAAACTTTGTTGGCCGCGACAAAGAATGCAAAGCAGTAGAAGACCATTTAACAGATGAAGTTACTCGACTGGTCAATGTCTGGGGTCCACCTGGATTTGGAAAAACATCAGTGGCCATCAGAGTGGCGCATCACTTACAAGAGAAGAATTTTCCAGTTTACTTCGCTTCCGTTCGTGGAGTGGAAAGTATGGAGGATTTAGTGTCAAAGCTGCTCAGGCTGTTCGTGGACGATAAACAAGTACATCATATTTCCTCGTCTGACCTCCAAATTCGAAATCCTTTTGTCTTAATATTAGACAACGCCGATGATTTATTAGGATCCCAAGATGCCAAATGGAAACAACACGTGCTCCGATTTATTGAGGAGATCCTTACTCACTGCAAACATATCAAGCTTCTCTTAACTACTCGCGAAAGTCTCGACTACTTAAGCCACAAGCTTCCCATCTATTTGGAGAAAATTAACGTATTGGATGAAATTTCGTCAGCGCATCTGGTAAGGCAGTTGTTACCAGATGCATGTGAAGGTGACTGCAAATGCGTAGTGAAGGAATGTGGAAACGTTCCTATGTCCATGCGACTAATGTGCAGCATCATTAAGGAAGCAAATATATCCATAAATGTGCTTCTAGATGAACTAAGAAATTCAACTATAGTTGAAGTTTTGAATAGTGAAAGCTTTCCTGACGATTTCCGGCTGAAATCTGTAATTAGCACATCATTTAAAAGGCTCATGACTCGAGAAAGAGACGCATTTGTTTCGCTTTCTGTTTTTCCTGAGTGGTTTGGAATAGAGGAAGCTCAAGCCATATTGAATGTAAAATCAGAGGTCAAAACCAAACAAATCATTCGATCATTGGAGAGAAGGTCCCTTATACATTGTGGAGAAAATTTTACCCGTTTCACAATCCATTCACTTTTACGGTCCTTCATTAAGGAAGAAGTAAAGAATGACGAAGCAGTTGAAGCTGTATTTCTACATGCACAGCTTCGGTTTTACGACTATTACATTTCTAGATGTAGAGTTGCTAATGAAAACTTTCTGATGGGACGTTATCCAGACGCCTACAGAGGATTCCTTGACCAGCGTGAGTGCATCATTTCATCCCTTTCTAATGGACCTGGAAATGACATTACCTACACCAAGGCTGTATACTTGTTATCTGAGGCAAAATCATTTCTCTATGTTGCACTGCACGGTGAAAAAAAGTTATTTGAGCGCCTTTATGACATAGCAATAAAAGAAGCAGAAAGAAGGGAGAAGGTCGGCGACAAAAAAGTATTACTCTCTGCCAAAGAATTTGCTCTTAGTCAGTGGTATCAGCCAGACACTGCTAAAAGCTACTTCTGGCTTGGTAGAGTGCAGCGTGAAGCGGGAGACCTAACAACAGCATTAGAGTCGGTACAGTTGAGCTTACGATTAAGAAGAGAACTGTTAGGAGATCATCCTGATACAGCCGACGACTTTCATGAGCAAGGTATTATCCATTTTGCAATGAATGACAACAAGTCAGCTGTTGAAGCATTCCAGAAAGCAGCAGACATAAATTTGTCTTTCCGTGGGACTCACATACTCACAGCAAACAGCTACCACAGCCTTGGTATAGCGCAGTGGGAGTTGAAAGACCTTGACCGAGCTTTGGACTCTTTGCAAAGAGCAGCAAACATGAGATTAAATCTGCTTGGCCATCACGAAGACACGGCAAGCAGCTACAACAAACTTGGTTTACTGCAACATGACATGGGAGAACTTAACGGAGCTCTGGACTCTTTGCAAAGAGCAGCAGACATGCAATCAAGTCTGCTTGGTGACCACAAAGACACGGCACGAACCTTCTATGAGCTTGGTTTAGTGCAGCAAGACATGGAAGACCTTAAAGGGGCTTTAGCATCCTTACAAAAAGCAGCAAACATGGAATCAAATCTGCTTGGTGATCACGAAGACACGGCATCCAGCTACTATCGGCTTGGTTTAGTGCAGCGTAAAATGGGAGACCTTAAAGGAGCTTTGGCTTCTTTGCAAATAGCAGTAAACATTACATCAAATCTGCTTGGTGATCACGAAGACACGGCATCCAGCTACCATTGGCTTGCTTTAGTGCAGCGTGGCATGGAAGACCTTAAAGGGGCTTTGGCTTCTTTGCAAAGAGCAGTAAACATGAGATCAAAACTGCTTGGTGATCACAAAGACACGGCATCCAGCTACTATTGGCTTGGTTTAGTGCAGCGTGACATGGGAGACCTTAAAGGGGCTTTGGCCTCCTTACAAAAAGCAGCAAACATGCAATCAAATCTGCTTGGTGATCACGAAGACACGGCGCACTGCTACGCTCGGCTTGGTTTAGTGCAGCATGTCATGGGAGACCTTAAAGGGGCTTTGGCTTCTTTGCAAACAGCAGTAAACATGAGATCAAATCTGCTTGGTGATCACAAAGACACGGCATCCAGCTACTATTGGCTTGCTTTAGTGCAGCATGACATGGAAGACCTTAAAGGGGCTTTGGCCTCTTTACAAAAAGCAGCAAACATGCAAACAAATCTGCTCGATGATCACGAAGACACAGCATCCAGCTACTATGGGCTTGGTTTAGTGCAGCGTAAAATGGGAGACCTTAAAGGGGCTTTGGCTTCTTTGCAAAGAGCAGTAAACATAAGATCAAATCTGCTTGGTGATCACAAATACACGGCATCCAGCTACTACTGGCTTGGTTTAGTGCAGCGTGACATAGGAGACCTTAAAGGGGCTTTGGCCTGCTTACAAAAAGCAGCAAACATGCAATCAAATCTGCTTGGTGATAACGAAAACAAAGCGTTTAGCTATCATAACCTTGGTTTAGTGCAGCGTGACATGGGAGACATTAAAGGGGCTTTGGCGTCTTTGCAAAGAGCAGTAAACATAAGATCTAATCTGCTTGGTGATCACGAAGACACGGCATCCAGTTACTGTTGGCTTGGTTTAGTGCAGCGTAAAATGGGAGATCCTAAAGGGGCTTTGGCCTCCTTACAAAAAGCAGCAAATATGACATCAAATCTGCTTGGTGATCACGAAGAGACAGCGTTTAGCTACTATAACCTTGGTTTAGTGCAGCGTGACATGGGAGACTTTAAAGGGGCTTTGGCCTCTCTACAAAAAGCAGCAAACATGGAATCAAATCTGTTTGGTGATCACGAAAACTCAGCGACTGGCTACCATAAACTTGGTTTAGTGCAGCGTGACATGGGAGACCTTAAAGGGGCTTTGGCTTCTTTGCAAAGAGCAGTAAACATGAGATCAAATCTGCTTGGTGACCACAAAGACACGGCACGAACCTTCTATGAGCTTGGTTTAGTGCAGCAAGACATGGAAGACCTTAAAGGGGCTTTAGCCTCCTTACAAAAAGCAGCAAACATGGAATCAAATCTGCTTGGTGATCACGAAGACACAGCATCCAGCTACTATTCGCTTGGTTTAGTGCAGCGTGACATGGGAGACCTTGAAGGGGCTTTGGCCTCTTTGCAAAGAGCAGTAAACATGACATCAAATCTGCTTGGTGATCACGAAGACACGGCGCACTGCTAAGTTCGGCTTGGTTTAGTGCAGCGTGACATGGGAGACCTTAAAGGGGCTTTGGCCTCGTTACAAAAAGCAGCAAACATGCAATCAAATCTGCTTCATGATCATGAAGACACAGCGTTTAGCTACTACAACCTTGGTTTAGTGCAGCGTGACATGGGAGACCTTAAAGGGGCTTTGGCCTCCTTACAAAAAGCAGCAAACATGAGATCAAATCTGCTTGGTGATCACGAAGACACGGCGCACTGCTACGTTCGGCTTGGCTTAGTGCAGCGTAAAATGGGACACCTTAAAGGGGCTTTGGCTTCTTTGCAAAGAGCAGTAAACATGGAATCAAATCTGCTTGGTGATCACGAAAACGAAGCGTCTAGCTACTATAACCTTGGTTTAGTGCAGCGTGACATGGGAGACCTTAAACGGGCTTTAGCCTCTTTAGAAAAAGCAGCAAACATGCAATCAAATCTGCTTGGTGATAACGAAAACACAGCGTTTAGCTATCATAACCTTGGTTTAGTGCAGCGTGACATGGGAGACCTTAAAGGGGCTTTGGCCTCTTTGCAAAGAGCAGTAAACATGAGATCAAATCTGCTTGGTGATCACGAAGACACGGCATCCAGCTACTATTCGCTTGGTTTAGTGCAGCGTGACATGGGAGACCTAAAAGGGGCTTTGGCCTCCTTACATAAAGCAGCAAACATGCAATCAAATCTGCTTGGTGATAACGAAAACACAGCGTTTAGCTATCATAACCTTGGTTTAGTGCAGCGTGACATGGGAGACCTTAAAGGGGCTTTGGCCTCCTTACAAAAAGCAGCAAACATTGAATCAAATCTGCTTGGTGATCACGAAGACACGGCATCCAGCTACTATTGGCTTGGTTTAGTGCAGCGTGACATGGGAGACCTTGAAGGGGCTTTGGCTTCTTTGCAAAGAGCAGTAAACATGAGATCAAATCTGCTTGGTGATCACGAAGACACGGCATCCAGCTACTATTCGCTTGGTTTAGTGCAGCGTGACATGGGAGACCTTAAAGGGGCTTTGGCCTCCTTACAAAAAGCAGCAAACATGCAATCAAATCTGCTTGGTGATAACGAAAACACAGCGTTTAGCTATCATAACCTTGGTTTAGTGCAGCGTGACATGGGAGACCTTAAAGGGGCTTTGGTTTCTTTGCAAAGAGCAGTAAACATGAGATCAAATCTGCTTGGTGATCACGAAGACACGGCATCCAGTTACTATTGGCTTGGTTTAGTGCAGCGTGGCATGGGAGACCTTAAAGGGGCTTTGGCTTCTTTGCAAAGAGCAGTAAACATGCAATCAAGTCTGCTTGGTGACCACAAAGACACGGCACGGAGCTTCTATGAGCTTGGTTTATTGCAGCAAGACATGGAAGACCTTAAACGGGCTTTAGCCTCTTTACAAAAAGCAGCAAACATGGAATCAAATCTGCTTGGTGATCACGAAGACACGGCATCCAGCTACTATTGGCTTGGTTTAGTGCAGCGTGACATGGGAGACCTTAAAGGGGCTTTGGCTTCTTTGCAACGAGCAGTAAACATGAGATCAAATCTGCTTGGTGATCACGAAGACACGGCGCACTGCTACGTTCGGCTTGGTTTAGTGGAGCGTAAAATTGGAGACCTTAAAGGGGCTTTGGCGTCTTTGCAAAGAGCAGTAAACATGAGATCAAATCTGCTTGGTGATCACAAAGACACGGCATCCAGCTACTATTGGCTTGGTTTAGTGCAGCGTGACATGGGAGACCTTAAAGGGGCTTTGGTCTCCTTACAAAAAGCAGCAAACATGGAATCAAATCTGCTTGGTGATCATGAAGACACGGCGCACTGCTACTTTCGGCTTGGTTCAGTGCAGCGTAAAATGGGAGACCTTAAAGAGGCTTTGGCTTCTTTGCAAAGAGCAGTAAACATGAGATCAAATCTGCTTGGTGATCACGAAGACACGGCATCCAGCTACTATTGGCTTGGTTTAGTGCAGCGTGACATGGGAGACCTTAAAGGGGCTTTGGTCTCCTTACAAAAAGCAGCAAATATGGAATCAAATCTGCTTGGTGATCACGAAAACGCAGCGTCTAGCTACTATTACCTTGCTTTAGTGCAGCGTGACATGGCAGACCTTAAAGGGGCTTTGGCCTCCTTTCAAAAAGCAGCGAACATGGAATCAAATCTGTTTGGTGATCACGAAAACACAGCGTTTACCTATCATAACCTTGGTTTAGTGCAGCGTGACATGGGAGACCTTAAAGGGGCTTTGGCTTCTTTGCAAAGAGCAGTAAACATGAGGTCAAATCTGCTTGGTGATCACAAACACACGGTATCCAGCTACTATTGGCTTGGTTTAGTGCAGCGTGGCATGGGAGACCTTAAAGGGGCTTCGGCCTCCTTACAAAAAGCAGCAAACATGCAATCAAATCTGCTTGGTGATAACGAAAACACAGCGTTTAGCTATCATAACCTTGGTTTAGTGCAGCGTGACATAGGAGACCTTAAAGGGGCTTTGGCCTCTTTTCAAAGAGCAGTAAACATGAGATCAAATCTGCTTGGTGATCACAAACACACGGCATCCAGCTACTATTGGCTTGGTTTAGTGCAGCGTAAAATGGGAGACCTTAAAGGGGCTTTGGCGTCTTTGCAAAGAGCAGTAAACATGAGATCAAATCTGCTTGGTGATCACGAAGACACGGCAACCAGCTACTATTTGCTTGGTAGAGTGCAGCATGACATGGGAGACCTTAAAGGAGCTATGGAGTCCTTACAAAGCGCAGCAAACATGAATTCAACTGTTCTTGGTGATCACAAACACACGGCGCACTGCTACTTTTGGCTTGGTTTAGTGCAGCGTGACATGGGAGACCTTAAGGGAGCTTTGGACTCTTTAGAAAAAGCAGCGAACATGAGAGCAAATTTGCTTGGTGATCACGAAGACACTGCCAGCAGCTACCATGAGCTTGGTGTTGTGCAACATGGAATGGGAGACTTGCAAGGAGCTTTGGAATCTTTAGAAAAAGCATTGGACATAAGAACTAATCTGCTGGGCGATCACGGAGATACTGCGAGCAGCTTGGACGAATTATGTGCCGTGCGGAATAAACTGTCTTCAGGGCGTTCTTTATTTGGCAAAGTTTTTCGGCGGAAAAATCGACGCGAAAAATAATAACAGTTTATAAAATAAACGGGAGCTATTAAGAGCAAAGTTTCGGTAAATCATAACTATTAGTAGCCTGAAATTCATCCGATTGCTTCGAGTCGTTTTCTCCTCTCAACAACGTCTGAATCGACCGGCCGTTAATGCCGTCCAGTGACGTCACTCACTACCCGAAAACCGGGTAGTGATTTTGATTGGTTGATTGTCTAAACATTCGCATAATTATGTATAGTTATGAAAAATTTTAGCGGGATTGTCACTTGATATTCAGCGGATCGCATCACTGCAATTCTTTCGTTTAGTTCAAACATTTCGATAAGCTTAATCTTTATCTTAAACGGCAAAATTGCCCTTGTCTTCGAAACTGAAATGCTATATCGGTTTTTCATTTAGAGCCGCTTTGTGGTTTCGGCGGCCGGTTATTTTGTTTACGCGAAGTTTTCTGAGATCAATGTTATAATTCGACCTTCTTGCTATTTTACCGTCAAGTGTAATGATTCGGTTAGCTTTTCTTTCTTGTCTCCTTGTTTTTTCTCTTCGTTAAGGACCAAGTAGCTTCTTTTCAATTAAAGCAAATCATTGTGTTTTTGAACTAAGTGTTCCGTGTGTGTGTTTATTTCATTGCGTGATTGCGACCGAGTTTGATTATAGAATTTAGTACAACTGGTTCAGAGTTGTACTGCATGCAGTTGATAGTTTGAACGTTAAACATGAATTACGATCGAAAAAAATAAAGCAGTTCTGTATCATGCAGACATTTCCAAACGATATTTCTCGGTTTGCCACTTGAAAATCGTGTTTTACTTTTTGCATGAATTAAAGCAAAGGTCAAGGAGTAGTGACGTCACTGGACGGCATTAACGGCCGGTCGATTCAGACGTTACTGAGGGAGTAATAACGACTCGAAGTAATCGGATGAAATTCAGGCTAAACTATTGGCAGAGAAACAGATAGATGGCCAGTAAACGACCAGGAGGGCTCAACCAACGTTATTCTTGTCACAGCGTTTCCTGAAACTTACTTATTTTTAGACTAGAAGTTCTCATTGAGAAGAGAAGTGCTGCCGTTAGTTGCGATGCGAATAGGACAAAGACAGTTTGTAGAACACTTGAACATATGAATTTTTTTTTATTGAAGTCAATAACTTAGACTTGCTGGCATTATGAAACACTCAGAGAGTAATATAAAGATGAACCGATCACGATGACAAATATGCTTACATTCATATAACTCGCTAAGGTTTCAATACCATTTTGTAATTCATTTTAATAATTCACGAAATTCTAAAACAACAGCAGTGCTGATAGGCTATTTCTTCATCGAACAATCATCGCACACAGGTGAGATGAGTTGCGAACAAATAACGTAAAGGCCAAAACTTGTTTATTCACAGGTCAGGTAGATGTACAGCACATGCCGTTCACTTATGTAACTTACAATCCTGATTACCGAGATAACAATCTGTGTGACAAAAGAATACTCGCTATAACTAATCTTGAAAACTGAATGAAAAAAATAAACCGAAAAAATGTTCCGTACAATATTTCTTGAACTGGTCTTACCGTTTAGGCCGTTTAAAAAGACAGCAAGCATCCGATAAACTACGATTTCTGCAAAGATCTTACATGAGAGCAAAACAAAATGGCGGGTTGCTCCTAAGAGAAAAATAGGCGCGGCAGCTAAGCACTTGCTTAAGCAAACCGCTGACTGAGCAGCGCTGCAGTCACAGATGAACCATGGAACCATTGAACGAAAAATCCCAAATCGCTCAAGAACATGGTCTGCTGCCGGCTGATGCCCGGCAGCAAATTAATTATTACCTTATTCTCCTTTACTTTCGCGGGACTTAAATTTAGCGAAAATTTTCTCCGCACATTTCGCGAGTCTTCAATTTCGCGATCGCGGAGAAAAATTGTGTTTGCAGGGAATTTAATTTCGCGAAATAGACGATTAAGTGACTTTATTTTTTCTTCTTTACAAAAATTGTACGTTAATCAACAATTGAAACAAAACCAATATGCTGTCCCTTAGCGGCAGCCGTATTCCTCTAAAAGTCAGTCTTACAGTAATAAAAAAAAATCTTCTTGTTCTTCCGAGTCATCATCGAGTATCGAGAGTATCGTTACATGTCCTTTCTAGGAGATCTCAATAGAACCTTCAGTCTCTTCAGATGGATTCTCAGGGGGAAGACTAAACGATTCATCTAATAGTTGGGCGATGCCAGCCTTTTCCCACCCTTTAGCGATGTGACAATTTTTAAAATTTTTAAAACTAAACTAGTGAGCAGCACTCTGCGAACTGTTGCTGTAAAACTTATTTATTCTCCTACGCGTTTCGTCTAACTAACGTAGACTTCTTTAGGGGGTTTTACAATCAAGTAATAAACGCCTGTATTTAAGCCATAATATGACTAAAAATAATGATGGTAAGGTTTGGCCGAATTTACGAAAAGGAACAGGCGCAGCTGTGAAATTTTTTTACGCAAGGCGTGAGAAAACTTTGGGGCAGCGGTTTTAACTAAAATTAGTAATAAACAAGTGAACAAGTAAACAAAACAAGTGAGTGCTGCTCCCTAGTTTAGTTTGAAAAATATTAAAAATTGTAAAAATTAACATCTAAAGTTGATAGATGATAGCTCCTTGTACTAACACCTTGTGTTAAAAATTGTTT